CGTCTGGCTTTAAAGGTGGAACTAAAGAGGGGCTGGAATAAGGAACAGGTGTGGGGAATGGGACAGAACGAGGAAGGGCTGGAGCGCCCTTAAGAGGAGGAGTAACGATCGTGACAGGAATAAAGGAACTGGAGCTTTCAAAGGAACTGTGACTGTGTCTTTTTGGGTGCCTGTAAGCATGTAATATATTTAACATGCTTTTATCACCTTTTGTATGAATTGTGATTGATTTCTTATCATGAATCTTAGGTTCTAAATCTTAGGTTACAGTTACAGCTTCTGTTCTGTGCAGGGGCAATACGACCTACAGACAGGTTCCTCAGACAAGAGTCATTCATCTTGTTGCTATTCATCATCTTATAGGAGAGGTAGTGGCATTTGGATACATTGATGTCACTACATGCTTACAGGCACCCAAAAAGACACAGTCACAGTTCCTTTGAAAACAGCAAGGCCCCTGTTCTGCCAATACCAATCCTATTCAATAGCAGTCGACTACATTAATGCCAACACCTGCTGAATCACAGTCATAGGCAGATAGTGAAGTGGCCTATGCTCAATTGGTGGAGTCTGGGTTATAGCTTGCAACATGGCAAAATACTTAGAAGATCCCAACTAAGCAGTGAGCTTGGAAATCAAAGTGTAGAGTCATGCTGTTTTGTCAACAAAACTCTTTCTAGCAGCCTACTACAAAAACGAATAAAGTCAATTCATTTTATCAGGAGACACATCTCCACACCATGCAGGATGCCTGACCAAACTCATGTTGTATCTTTTATTCAGAACCACAAAGGCAAATTGCTTCAACTGTACCATGTGTTTCAATATAAACTAAAGCCAACCCTATAGTAAAGAGTGGAAAATCCACCAGTCATCAAAATGCTTAGGGGAATTTCACAAAGCAAAGTGTTAACCACTAGGTCTAATATTAGGTATAGTATTACCTATTACCAAACCATGCGTAACTGACTGACAAACACTGGCCTGGCGTTTTTCATGTGTGTTTTATACTTATTTTCTTGTTATTGTTGTTGATAAAGAACTGTAAATGAATTCAAGGAAAACCCACTATAATTTTATGTTTCAAACATTTAAACTATGTTTTACCTTGCACTATTTGTGCTTCTATGTTTATCGTATGACCAATGTTCTTCAACAAAATACTAATTCCATGTTCAATCTAAAACTATGGCTAACGTGTCATTTGGTAGTACTTCAATATAGGCATAAAGTATATGCAAGGCATGTATTGCTATTTTATTTTACTGAATCACAGGGTCTTGAATACTATATAATATTCTAGGATGTGGTTTATTAGTGACAGATGGAGGGTATTTATTAGATGTTTATTACTGAATAAAAATCATTATTACCTAGCCAACCTTTATGTATGAGCTGTCCATCAAGTGTTAGATGCTTGTGTATCATTTCTATGTAACTAATAGATGCTTTACAGATTTTTGCCTTTTCTGGAGTGTCAATCTTTATTTTAAATATCAGATGTTAGGAATCCTATACCTGTAAATGAGAAGCTCCTGATTAAGAATAAGAATTGAATAAGACCTTGCAAGCTTATTCCTATATATAAAGATGTTCGTACAAAAAATCACAATCTGAAATGAAAAATATTTGTGTGCAAGGTTTTACTGGCTGCTTGTTAAACACAAATATTCAATTAAATGCATATATTCGGTAATAAAGCTGCTATGAAAAGTAAAGGATTTATGGGAAATGTTCTTTAGACATAAATTCCACATTATTATTTACATATAAGCATACACCAAATTACCAGTATCCATGATACTTTGAGGGTGCTGATTATATTTTCAATATACTGTATTAATCCGAATTTATGTTAAATACCCCCATAATGAATGGTTTTGGTCAAAAAGGCATCCTTTTGGATAGTCAGATAGAATTTAGCTGTTCCCTGAGATTTCTGTAATACCTTTACATAAAATACAAAAAGGACTGCAATTTTAAAAAAGGTCTTAAAGAAAATGTATTGACAATATTGAAACATTTTGCAGCTCCTACTCTGAAATGAAAATTACAACAGGAGTAATAAAAATTAGTAGGATGTAGAAACCAATGAAGCAGTTTCTGCTCTAAAGCAAAGAAAATATAATCACTTATTTGAATAAAGAAAAGTAAAAAACACAATTGGTCATTCTAATTTGGGTGCGTATGATAAAATAGGCCTGCACAGTGGAGCAGTGGTTAGCTGTGCTGCCTTGAAGCAGGAGGCGCTGGGTTCAATTTTTGGAGTGCTATTTGTGGGGAGTTGTATGGTCTCCCTGTGTTTGTGTCGGTTTCCTTTTGCAGTACAAAAACAATTATGGTAGGTTAATTGGTTTCAGGAAAATTGGCCATGGTATGAGTGTCTAGTGTCCTGTCCAGGGTGTACCCTTCTTGCACCTGCTGCTTGCTGGGATAGGCTCTGGCCCCCCTGCGACTCTGAATCGGAAGAAGCGGTTAGAAAATGAAAATGATAAAACAATTAGAAAATTAGTTTAGATTGAAAGACAAAAGAACAAGGTTAGTCAAATAACAAAGATAACAAGTCACCATTAAATAAAAATGAAATGAAAAAACAGGAAAAACTTAGCACAGAATAACACAGTGATAAATGTTGTACTGAACTGAACTGTAGAAATTTCAGAGATATTAAATATTAGAGAAGCTAGAAAGGGCACCTCAGTCAACTGGCTGAGTGTTTTGTCAAGACAATTGCCATCCAGGCCTGTCACTCAGTCATTTTCCCCAGCAGACTAGCTCATGGCAAAATGAAGCATTCAGGTGGGGTCTGTCCTACCTGAGCACAGCATAGGCTTGGTTTAAATCAAAACTTAAATTCCACATTTACTTGAGGGAGGCTTCTTGTTTCTGTCATAATGGGAAAACCACCACTAAGACTTTACAATTCAGTCAAAGCCTTGATGAATTTGGGCTTCGTTGTCTGGTCTGGTCTAAGAATATCTTAGTTTTGCTGGTTACACTACAATTTAAAGGTAACCACATTATGGAAGAGGAAGCCACTCATCAATTCTCTGTGGGTTTTATTGAAAGTCACCTGAGATTAATAAATCCCAACAATCTATTGGAATTAAAAGAAGCTGTCACATGGCCATTAAACAGACAATAGCAAAGAAAAATCAAAGTATCATTTGGCTAATTTATTGTTTTCTGGACACAATTCTGGACTAATGTTAATGGGGGTACCCAAATTGTGATGGATGGGCACTCTGCATGTAAATATAATTATAATTCATAGCTGATTCATAGTAGCACATTTATTAGGTCTACTTGATGCATCTAAACATTTTAGGTTCTTCAAAGGTTTGGAGTCTCTATTTCATTTTACTAAGGCTTTTCAAATTGGTGTGGTATTGGTGTGAACCACTACAAACCGAAAGGGTGTGTGTAGGCTGAATTTATCAAATATTTATTCTTCAGGGTATTGCTGTGGCAATGTAAATGTTTGGAGAAATAGAGACTGCACTTGATTTTTTTCCTACGCAACTTCTGTGAAATTTCCCTTGTTGTTCTTACTTTTATTTTTAATGTCCTGTAAAATTTCCCCTTTCCTCTAGGCAAGTTATAAATACTGTAGCGGGTAACACCTTTCTCTAAATCCTGAGGAGAAGATTAAAAAGTATAAGACAATTGCAGTCCGATCATGTCCTGTAAAGTGGTGCTCCTTGTGCTCCTGGCAGTTTGCATTGCTGCCTCTGCAATGGGTAAGAAATATTGTTTTAGTCCACCTGGCCATGGTTTGACATGACAAATCAAAAATTTAAATACAATCAGAATGTGATGAAAATAAATTTAAGTGAATAATGCAAAAGAAGGGTTAAAAGCAAGAATCTCAAGAATAGATCTGAATAGAACTGTCAAAAAACATAAAAGAAGAAATATTTGAACAAGTTGAACAAGATTGACTTTAATGCACTCAAAGTCTTTTTTCTAAAAATAACAACGTCAATGTTGTTTCTTTGTGTAGTCATAGCAATATCTCTTGTATGTTCTTACATAAATAAATTCAAGCAAATTTCCCATACAGGACAGTAAAAAAAGTCAGAAATAATAACCAGTTCTAAAATCTTTAATGAAAAAAAAAAGTTTTTGTAAGATTTCTGTAATTTGCAATGCAGGGCTTTGTGTGTCATGGTTCCGGTGTGCCCAGTGCTTTACTTTTCCGTCTGTACATTGTACATTTCTGGTTTTAGGTTTGTCACACAATGAACAACAAAACGCAAAAAAGCAGGTGTCAGAACATCCTAAATATTATGTCCTTCTATGCAGATGTCTCCTCGAGCCAACGGTGCCTGTGCATCAGAGTGAGAAACAGGCTGGCAGCTGTCAAGGACATAAAGACCATAGAGATCCTGCCTCCTACTTCCAGCTGTGAAGAAGCGGAGATCATGTAAGAAACATAAAAGACATTCATATCCATAAATACATTCATACACCCTTCTATAATGCAGTAAAATAACAAACTGTGATCAATTTAGTATCATTTATGATCAATTTCTGCCAGATGAACCTGGCAGTTAAAACCAAGCAAGATATACAGTTCCATTGTTATGAACTGTTTTTCACATCTGTAAACAGCAGAGCAACACATACAATATGACAAGCTGCTACATTAAATAAAGAAGTTCAAATATTGGCCATAGTGGTAAATAAGGATCAGGAAATGCAGAATCATTTTCTTTAATACCTACATTTTCCTCAAATACAGCAACTGGTCCAGTTAACAAGAGTTATTGTAATTGTGTTATGTTTATTTTATGTACATGTACATACATGTATAATATATGGAAACAATATTGTATGTCTTTAAGTTAGACATTGATGGTTTTAGTTTTGGAAATGCAAAGAAAATACTGGTGAAGTAAAGAATGTATACAGTATATTATGTTTATTTCAGTTATAAGTTTGTGGTGAAGATTTTATAATCTGCGCCACAGACAGGTTGGACGGCTAGAAAAGCATGGTTATGAGCTAGAAAAATACATCTGCACATCTGTACAATGTAAAACCACAGAATGAACTGCTTATGTCTTACTGACACACTGAACTTGGAGTAGATCAAAGGTAAAAAAGGATGTGGCTAATTTCACCATGCATGCTTCTCATTAGCTATAGATTCAGCGGCACATTTTGCAAAATGCAGCTATTATGATGGCTTGAAAATACCCTTGTATACAAGTACCAACATAAACTATAAATACAAAATGGTAAAAGATGAGCTATGAAAGGGGATTCACGAAGAAGAGTTGGATTTGCTAAAAGGAACCTTTAGGAATGGGTAACAATTAAACAGTTCAAATTAAACCTATAATCTAGTCTATTAAAGGTTCGATTATTTAATTTAATGCACATATAGAACCAAAACCAGCGGGTGTTTAGTACATTAGGACCAGGATTAGGAACACCTTATTCAGAATACTGTATTGTATTGTATAAAAGTCTGAATGTGTGTATACATGTGTGTATGTGTGTACTGTGTAAACGTTCGGTTGCCAAGTTGAAATTGGAATTAGTCCAGAGTAGAACCAAACATATTTTAAAGCTTTAAAAAAGAAAGAATTATGAATTTACTTGATACAAGCATTCAAAATTATCAAAGGAATTGAGCCTATTTACATCTTTAGAATCAACAGTGAAACACAAACCATACAGCTCAAATATAAACTACATGGAAGTGCATATTAGTCAGAGAACAGGAATCAGTCATTTACCCAGTGTTGTGGGAGAATGGAACAAGCTACCCAGCCTTGTTGTTGAAGCTGGTTAAGATCCATAGATCAATTAAATACTAACTAATGAACTAGATGTGCCAAATCCTCTCATTTGTTAAAATTCTAATTGCAAAACAATATTGACAACTTTTTTTAACTGAAGTGCAGTTTTCTCCTGCTCTGGTCCCACAGTCCAACAGTGTGTGCATCCTAAAATTCTACTGCAGTCATTAACTGTAGGCACAAGCTTGAAATATTCAAATGTCCCCAAAGCTTCTGTGTCCTGCAGACTTCACCCTTTGAAACTAATACTATGGACATTACTATTAAGGTATATTAATTACCGGTTTCAAGCATCACACTTGTGAAAAAAATAAGATTATGGATCACATTCTTCTTTTCAACACTATTATTGCTGATTGTAGAAGTAATCAGCAAAGTAGTAAGGACAGTAGTTGTACTGTAGTTTCATTTATGCATTTAATACTGAATGACATGCCTTGTCATTTAGGTTATTTAAATTATAAATGTACAGCATAGGTTATGAACAAACTTGGCAGCTTTCACTGGACTGAGATATTTTTAATTTTAAAAGTGCAAAATTACATAAATGTACTGTAGTTCAGGTTTACACGATACGACAAGTTAAATATTAGTTGTGGTAAAGAGGTTGTGGAGAACATTCAAAACATTGTCAAGTGGTGCGTTTTGGGGAAAAAGTGGTTTCAACAGTTAATTTAGTGCAACTAATTTCACTTTATAGACACCTTCTGATTTCTAATCTGAAAAAGTTACTGTGTGTGTTGTTGGAGATATTAAGTAAATCAGATAAGTGCAATATTTATGAGAATAAATAATTACTGTATGTGTTATAGAGTCCATTTGAAAAATGGAATCCAGTACTGTTTGGACCCAAACTTCAAGAAGCTTCTTTTCAGCCTCAAAAGGTAATATAAATACTATGTATTCTTTTGGATCCAGAATCACATAAATAATCCTCTGTGTCCCTTTTCCAAAAGCCCACAGCTGGCTTCTTTTCTACTCTTCATGCTTCACTTGTTCTCCTTTGCACAATAAAATTACTATTTTTTAACCCACATCGATTACTGTTTGGTATTAAACAGACATTTTATGTCCCATCGACCATCTCATTTTAATTCGTACAACCACATATACTGTACAGTATTAAGTAATATACTGGTTAATGATGTGCCTTGCAAAATATATTGTTTCCTATTTCCATGCAAAGGAAATTATTGATGCAATAAGCTCTCCATTAAGACCATGTGTTAATCTTCTGTTATGAAATTTGACTTTGAAAAGAGTTGTTCCGCGCATTAAAGTTATCTTGCTTTCTTCTTTACAGTATATTCCCCATTTCCCTATCATGACGTTATGACAATATTTTTTCACAGTAGATCTTAGTGTAAACATTTTCTAGCTTGTCTACGCGTTTGAATTCCATTTGTTATAATTTAAAAAAAATGTTGTCATTCCTTTAGGAGACGCCAGTGAAAGTATCTTCAGTTACAGAGAGGTCAGCACCAACGATCTTGCTTTTGAGAGTACTTCGACCTGCAGTCCACACCCAACTCCATATATGACCCTCTTTTTAATTGCTCACTTGTCACGTGTGCTTTGTGGAAATGTCCTTGTTTTTGTATACTGTTTTTTTGTTCATCTGAAAAGTCCCTGGCAATAAAAAATAAACTTCTATTCTGAACTATTTTTTTTCCTGCCACTCCTCTTAGAGTGTGTATTTTCTTGGCCTGTGCAGAACTACAACTTTTTTTAAAAAATCTTTCCAAATTCCAAAAGTGTCCCTTAAAATCTGCTTGAAGACAACAGGACGTTGCATGCTGTGAAACTTTACATTTTCAAAACGTAGTGTAAGTTGCCACAACACACTTGCATGATATATTCACTTCCTCACTGGCAAGGTTTTCCTGGCCTTTCTCTTCAGTGAGTGAAACTGGAATGTACAGTACATATTTAGCCCTTACCAATGTACTGTACTGTACATACTGTAACAAATTAAAACAACAGCCCACTAAGGAATCAAGGAATTTACAGAATTTCAGTATGACTAAAAAAGAGCTGAAACAAGCTTAAAACAGCCATTATTAGATACTTCGGCTTAGTACAATACAACTTATAAAGCAAATTGTCTCCATATTTACATTAATTGCCATGGAAATTTTAGACTTCTATGCTTAGCTTTCTTTTCTTTTCTCTCTCAAAACATAATCTATACAGTTTGTCACAAGTTCTAAAAGTTTAATTATCACATCTAAGATGCATATCTAGGAACAAAGTCAGTTAAACTTTTAATGAAATCTCAGCTCAAGTTTCACAATTACCTGGAACTTGTGTTGGAACAAGCTTGTTTTCATTATTGACTGTTTTTTGTTTTTAAAAGTATTTAAAAGTTCTGGTGTTCCATTCATCTCTTATCGTTAAGCTGCTTATTCCTGATAATAATGTGGCAATCCATAGCCCTTACTGAAACTAAAGGCCACAAGGTGGGACCATACCCTGGACACAATGCTAGTCCATCGCAGGGAATTTAACCTTTCCAGAATGCCGTAGGCAGATTGGAAGAAAAGAGTACCTGAATACACTTAGATCATGTGAGTCAACACAAAGGTATCGGTCTTAATGTAAAACTATGTATTGTAACATCCTCAAACGAATCATTTTTAAACATTTATACTTAGCATACAACATAAAAACTCTTTGTATATTGCAACCCAACCTATTCTAAAAACATCACTTGAACATACTTTATAAATACCCCTGCATATATATTATTATTGGAACACAAAATCTAGAGCAAATAGAGAGGTAATCAATAAATTAGGCAGTCTCTGGTTTTAAGAAATAATTGTGGAGTGTCTGTCAAAATGTAAGATATTTTTTCAAGATGTATACTGGTGGTTATTTCATGAATCCAATGAGCAACAGTAAAGGGAGTCTGTAGAGGAAGTAACATGATTGTTTTCTTCTTTCTAGCGACAAAGGGCTGGTGCACACCCTCATCACATGACGTCTTAGGTCTATCACCCACTTTTATTCACTTGTTCACCTATTGTTATTGTTATTGTTGTTGAAACATAGTCACTTTATTTGCGTTTTTTACTCTATATTAGTGTAGATTGGTGAAATTATTGTGCGTATAGTTAATCTATGTATTGGTTAAGCATTGGTCTTACCTGCTGTGGATCCACAATCTTGTAGTTATCTGTTTGCTCCGCCATTTTGTGCCAGGATTGCACAGCCTGTCTCTGGATTAAATGGAGACTTCCTGTCCATTAGTTGGAGCCAAGGGTGAGACTTCAAGTAATTAATCGGGCACTCATAATGTAGCAAGTCTGAGTCTGGCTTGTGTATTGTACTATACCATGTGTCTATAAATAACACACCTTGGTATTTACTTGATCTTTAAAACTACTAGTGTGTATCTTACTGTTTTAGGATGTATTTTTCCATCTCTTTTTATAAATAGTTTTTTGCTCAGAGCACTGTTAGTTTTTTGTCAGTATGTTTATGACGTGTTATCACCCCTGGATTTGCTTTAAGGTGATTTTTTCACACCTTTTGTTATTGTACCTACAGTAGGCTTTAAAAATTTCCAATAAGCACAGAATAATAATAAACTTTATTTTATATAGCGCCTTTAAAGATGGCTTCTCAAAGCGCTTTACAGAATGACAACAACAATAAATAAAAAGAATACACAAGATAGAACACAATTACAATACACAGAGGAGACCGTGAATGGTTGTACCAAGTACAGTAGGAGCAGAGGGGTAAAGAATGGAACCAGTTAAGTAAAGGTTCTTCTAAAGAAGAAGATTTTGAGTCTGGATTTGAAGGAGCTTAGAGAAGGTGACTCTCTGGTATCCTTTGGGAGAGAGCTCCAGAGCTTGAGGGCATAACAGGAGAAGGTGCTGTCACCCATAGACGGTCTTGGGAGACAGATAGGAGACCAGAATCAGAAGAGCAAAGGTTTGCGAGATGGGGAGTAGGGCGATAATAGTTCAGACAGTTACTGAGGTGCCAAGCCATGCAGAGCCTTATAGGTGAGCATGAGGATTTTGAAGTCCACATGGAATTTGACAGGAAGACAGTACAAGGACTCCAGGATAGGAGTAATGTGATCACTTGCTCTAGACCTGGTCAGGATTCTGGCTGCTGAATTTTGGCAATACTGCAGTTTGTTTAATGTAGATTTAGAAACCCCAGCGGGTAGAGCATTACAGTAGTATATTGGGGAGAGCACAAATTCGGGTTTAAATGGAGACTTCCATTAAGATTACATGAAGATTCCAATAAGATCACAATCAGAACATGGCAATGAAATCACATTATATACAGTACAATACTTATTCTACATGCATTGGAAAGATGATGAGGGTAAATTCTTACAGTTACAGTACAAGCTAAAAGAGAGAATGGGGTTGTGTTAAGTATTCATATCTGATTTAGCCCACACCCTCCATGCATGAGCCTGTTGAACTGCAAAGTAGTGTAGGAGTTCTTAGTAAATTGGCTTCCTTAGCCACAGCCTAGCTGTAAGAGAGGGGCTGTCCCTTGACCTTCTGTACACAATCATCTGGATGATAACATGAGCTAACTGACCACACATCACCCACTCATCACCATCCACACAACAAATGTAACATCTCTTGCATGAAATGTATCCAAATGTTTCTAGCGCCAGCCACACATTGCAGTTTTTTATAGAATGTGCTTAGTCTACAGTAATTTTTCAGCACTTGAACTAATAAAGTCATGAGTCTGAGCTACATTACAGTTTGACTCATTCTCTGATTTAGTGGGACATCAACACAACTGAAAAAAAAGCCATATTAAATGAAAATAGATATTTAACCAACAAGAATTGCTGGGGTCCTATTGTAGTGTTATGCCAGCCGAAACAATCAAAACCCCTTACCAAAAAAAAAATCAGTCACCAAATCAACACCTTGAACAGGATTTGACGTAATTTACGGGTTTTGAAATCTTTGCGGCCCAAACCCACTTCCTTCTTCCAACAGCATCGTCTTCACCTTTAGGCTGTGACAAGGGGGATGGGATGTGATACTGAGCTGCATGTTCCATTGGTTTCATCAGTTTTTGACAAGATTAGGGTGAGGGTCAGTATGAGGTCTCATAATCCACAAGTCAAACACACATTGCCTGCCACTGAGCCAGCCTGTTAATGTACAGTACAGTCAGACTCATATTAAGGAAAAGGCTATGCTCTTCAAAAAGAGAATAGAAGCGGTGGAGGGCCAAAAAAAAACCCTGTGACAATCACAAATTGCTCTTGCATAACATGATATGATTAGACTTATACCAGACCAGGGGAAGAGGAAGGATGACATCAGACATGAAAATGAAAACTAAAAGCTTGGCACCAGATTTCCCTTTTTAAGAAAGAGGGATTTCCAAGTCTGCTGCATTTCTTATAACTGCTGCCGTTGATCATCTTCCTCAAGCAAAGGCATCTGTATTAAAGACCCTGTTCCTTGCATCCTTGCACGTGCTTTTTCCTCAATGTGTGTGCAGAAATGTGTTACAGTGCAAAACTATTGTGCTATAAGCATTTTCATGTCTTTTTCTTTCTCTTTTCATTTAAAATGAAATAAATGTTAAAGCACTTCATTACTGCAGACACTTTCAGTACTAACAACTAATGCAAATAAAATAATTCAATGTAATAAAAAGAAATGGATGCTTAAATGTATATTAGAAAGTAAAAGACTAGAAAAGTGATTTTCCATACCAAGGGCTAGAATGTGTCTCCAGGAACGAGGTTAACTAACATGTGCATTAATGAGTTGTACTGTCAGGATGTGTTTTAATAAACCTGTTAAATTTTACTTTTGTTAAGGGAGCTCTCAACCTTGCTTCATATTTATACTGTAGTGACAGTGTCCATAATGATACCAGGATCTTGATTTAGCATCTTTATCAATACATGAGAGTTCCACTGCTTCTCTCGCAAATGTACTGAGGTATTGTTTCTCACAGGATAGCAACATTTGCTGTGGCAATAATACACCTAGAAAGTTAACAATGTTTTAAGAACAGATTTGACGGCAATGTTTAAGCTATATATCAAGGCAGTGCTAATGCTTTACCTGTATGTTAAGGAAACATGAATATTACCTATCAGATAACATTCATAAAGAGGCTATGAGGTATTATTAAGACATTTCATTGATTGATATGCTATTAAAATATACAGTAGTAATAATGTAACCAGGATGGAGATAAAAAACATCAGAAAAAAAATATTGTGCAGAACACTAGTTTCCATCTGTATATTCTCAGTGTTTCATTGCTCTGGTACAAACACTTGACCCCATCTACCACACTGCACCCAGTGCACAAGCACCTGAAGTTACCGCTGACCACTATTACAGACCAGCTTGCACAATAAGTATGGGAAGACGGAGTGGACAGTTATACTCTGTACTGTAATTGAACTCTGACAACTCTCTGTGCAGTTTCTATTACGAAACTGGAGTTGTCTCTAAGTATAATTAATCTCATGGCAATAGGGATGTGTGCATTCAAAGAATAGTGGTGTATATCATCATCATCCTCATCACCCTCGCGCTCCAGCATCTCCCAGGTCCACACTGCAGCAGAAAGACAATTCACAATTCACAACAGTAGCACTATTGATTGAAATGTTCTACTAAACACTGTTTT